GCTTTTGCGTCGACAGTTGCTGACGAAGGATGCCTCGTTGCGTGCAGAACATGTCCCCGGAAAAGTTAGGGTCCTTGGCGCCGTCCTCATCCACCACCATAGGGCGCCCAAACACTGGGGAGAAGGGGAAGGTGGGTGGCAGGACGGACGCCTCCCCTGCTCCGATCGTGCGCTCAGCCACTCGGTCCCCCGTGGCTCTCTGCCACTGCAGCTTTGTTCCTCTTCAGGAGATTTTGCCTTTGGGAGAACTAAAATTAGAACCAAGGGGAAAAAAAAAGAAAATACTTGCAAACAGCTTCCCAGGCAGGTACTGTAAGGTGGGTTCTTGCCTTGCGGTCTCTCCAACCTAGATTTTCGTTTTTTGTTTTTTTTTGTTTTTTAAAAAAAGAACCTTAAGGACTAGAAACGTGAAATGAGCGTGGGTGCAAATGAAAGTTGGGGTTCCAGGAATGCTGCATTCCCAAGCGCGCGTTAATGTACAGGTGGTCCTCGGCTGCCATGGAGCTCAAAATTTCGGTGGCTAAGGGGAATCATTTGTTAAGTGAGTTTTGCTCCAGTTTCCTTGCCACAGTTGTTATGTGAATCAACTGCAGTTGTTAACTTGGTGACACAGTTGTGAAGTGAATCTGGCTTCTCCCCGTTGACTTGGCTGGTCAGAAAGTGGATCGGGTGAGACGGCAACCGTCGTAAATACGAGTCAGTGACTACGCGTTTGAATTTTGATCAGGTGACCCCGGGGGGATGTTCCCACAGTCGTAAGTGTGAAAAACGGTCCTAAGTCCCTTTTTTTCAGGGCCATTGTAACTTCAAATGGTCACTAAATGGATTGTTATAAGTTGAGGACTACCTGTATTGTCCCCAATTGACTCTTCATAAATCAGAAGTCAACGGTCGCTCCCGATTTCTTCAAACAGCCGCGGTTTTTAAACAAATCACTGCAATTGCTTAATGGATTAATAGTAATAATAATAATAATAATAATAATAGTAGTAGTAGTAGTAGTAGTAATAATAATAATAATAATAATAATAATAATAATAATAGGAACTGCTTCCATCCTGCGACGATATCTGTAATACCATCCAACATCCACATCTGCCTATCCCAGGTCCTGGGTAAGGACTCGATAGGTAGACAAAATGCAAAATCCAGTCTGAATATCTGGCTGACTGTGCGATGATCCATAATAATAATAATAATAATGTTGGAAGGGACCTTGGAGGTCATCTAGTCCAACCCACGGTTGTTAAGGGAACCCAGCTTCCCCCTTGAATTTGCTCGTCAAGAAGGTTGCAAAAGGGGGTCACGTGACCCCTCCGGGACGCTGCGACCATCATAAATCCGAATCAATTGCCAAGCGCCCGAATTTTGCTCACCTGTACCGCAGAGATACCGCAAAAGGCGCAACTTTGAAACACAGTCCTGAGTCCCATTGTTCAGTGCTGATGTAACTTTGAACAGTCACTAACCAAAACGTTATAAGTCGAGGACCACCTGTACATATGTGCCTGCTTGGAACTTGCGCATTGCGAGCCAAAGTTTTCACTTCCAGGAACTCCTTTCTCCAAAATAAATCTTAAGCTGCTGTCAAATTCTTCAGGGATGTGGGAGGGAAAGATAAGGGGGGTGCCTCTTCCCCAAATTTCCTTTTCTGCTGCTTTGTGTGGGGCCAGGCTGCGTAAGCATTCAAACTGGCCACCTCAGTTTGCCCAGCCGGCACGGGAAGTCCTCGACTTATACGACCGTTCATTTAGTGACCGTTCAGAGTTACAGCAGCACCGAAAAAAAGGAGGCCTAAGACCGTTTTCCCCACTTACGACCGTCGCAACGTCCCCCGCGGTCGCGTGATCAAAATTTGGACTCTGGGCAACTGACCTCCATTTATGATGGTCGCAGTCTCCTGGGATCATGTGATCTCCTTTTTGCGACCTTCCGACAAGCTGAGTCCGTGGGGGAGCTGGACCCACTTAACAATTGTGTCACCAACTGAACAACTGCAGTGATTCACAAGAGCCGTGGCAAAACAGGTCGTAAAATGGAGCAAACTCACTTAACCGTCTTGCTTTGCAACGGAAAATTGGGGCCTCCCTTGCCGTCGTAGGTCGAGGACTGCTGTAGCCACCTGGTGCCTGTTTACGGCTCCCGTCTGCCACACACCTATTCACAAGTTGGCACGTGGGGCAGGCATGAGACCAGCCCTGTTTGCGGCCAGCCCTGCCAGTCTGATGACCCCCCACGGTTGGGCTGGCGACCAGCCGTGCCTCTTTGCTGACCCTTACTGTTTGGGAGGCAGGGAAGAGATAACCACTAGGCCACACGGCCCACGGTTGCCTGCTCCCCGCAAAACAGAGCTGCAGGTTGGTGGGCAGAGTGCCAGGGCACAGAAGCGGAACAGGCTGTACCCAGAAGAGAACTGGAGAGGGAGGGACGGTGGAAAGAAAGAACTGTGGGAGGATCAGGAAATACAAAGTCCAGCTTGCTCTGCCCGGGAAGCCAGAGATCGGTTATGTGGTGGCGCTGGAAGCGGGCGAGGGGCAGGAGGTGGTGCAGGTAAGGGGCCTCTGGCCTTTGGGGCAGGGCCTTCCGGGACACGGCAAGCCTCCCTGTTCCCCGCCTTGTCTTGGGCTTGTGGTATGGAGGAACCGTCTCTTGATGGATCCCTCTGGGCCCATCAGCAGAAGTCTTCAGGGCTTCCCAGCTGGGTTGAGTGTCTTAGAAGAAGACGTGAGCTTGGGTGGACCTCCAGAAGATCCTAGAACTTGCTCAAAGCATTTCCAAGACAAGGGACTCCAATATACCTAATCATGCCGGGAAGCTAAAAAAAAAACTTTGTGAAGTTTTGAAGTTCCTTGAGTTTTGAGGTTCTTTGAGGTCCAGGATGGGATCTCTCTGGAGCTAACGGTGGCGGTGAGCCCTTAGTCTTTTCACGGCGGGCGGCTCATTTCTGGAATGTGTGAAGGTTGAGAGGGTTTTTCGCTGACATTTTTTGGGGAGGTGTCCAAGTAGACCTGGGTGGACCAGGAGAGCAGATCCAGGATGCTTGGAGACCTTTCCAAAAGTTGGAACATCGAGAAGATACATCGGAGGGGAAAGAGGAACCCAAGAAAGCGGAAATACGGGCTACCTAGAACCCGATGGGGCTGAGAAATAAAGAAATATGGGTTCCAGAAGTTAGTAGGACGAAGGAGGAGGAGGAGGAGGAGGATCTGGTGATTGAGCTCCAGGAGCAGGAGAAATGTTAGATTTTTGAGATGATTTGATGGGAGGGGAAGCTTAATTTAACCTTAATTCAGGAAACGGAGAACGCAGGGACATGTTGTCGGGGAGGCAATTAAGTCGAGGAAACTTCCTGTTTCGCAACGGGGAGGGGGGTAGGTGGTAGCGTGCCCCCTCCCCTATTTTTCCTCGCCTGTCTCTGCTTCTGCTTCACGGGCCTCAGTTGCTTGATCTGGTGGGGGAAAGTCCCACCAGAGGTCCTCCTATCGCACCCCACGTGTCTCGCTTCCTGTGTGTTTTGCAACAAGCCGGGGTTGTGTGACGTTGCTCGGCCGAGGCGGGCGGGTGTGTTTCTTTACATGTAGTCCTCGTCTTACAGCAGTTCATTTAGTGACCGTTCAAAGTTACCACAGCCCTGAAAAACAGGGACTTGGGACCGTTTTTCGCACTTACGACCTTTGTAGCAGCCCCATGATCACGGGATCGGAATTCAGACGCTCGGCAACTGGTTCATACTTACGACCGTCGTGGCATCCCCAAGGTCACGGATCCCCTTTTTGCGACCTTCTCACGAGCAGAGTCAGTGGGGGAACAACCGGGTTACTAACTTATCCACTGCAGGGATTCGCTTTGCGACCGTGGCGAGAAAGGTCGTAAAAAGGGGCCAAACTCACTTAACAAGGGTCTCACTTTAAAAAAAAAAGAAAAGAAATTTTGAACTCCATTGTGATCTGAGTCAAGGGCTACCTGTATTTCTCTAGGTCACAGGGGTAGGCAACCTTGGCTCTTTTATGACTCGTGGACTTCAACTCCCAGAATTCCTGAGCCAGCATAGCTGGCTCAGGAATTCTGGGAGTTGAAGTCCACGAGTCATAAAAGAGCCAAGGTTGACTACCCCTGTCTAAGGTCAGCCAATGAGGTTCAACAAGATTCCCCAGCCTGTCCCAACAATTTTTTTTTTCCCCTTCTAAGCCAGGGTTCGCCATACTTGGCAACTTGAAAGCTTGTGTCCTTCAAACTCCAGCTTTCCTGGCTGGGGAATTCTGGGAGTTGAAATCCACCCATCTGAAAAACACCAATTTTTTTGTTTTTTTAACAGTGTATTGTATACGAAAGAATGTGGGTGAGTGGCCTGTTGGTCGCCCGTTTCATATACAGTTCTAGAGCTAGAAGCAAAACTCTAGAAAGAGAACTTCAGAAAAGGAATTTAATACGTTGATTTATATTTGCAACCTGCTCTGCTTTCTGGTATTTCTTGTGAGATCAGAGGTTGGAGTAGAGGAGAAAGAAAACAAGAATTTGAAATGCCCATTTGTTTATTATTGATTGATTGATTGATTTGATTTTTATCCTGCCTTTATTGCTTCATAAGCAACTCAAGTCAGCGAGCACACGTCATCTTTCTTCCTCCTTCTGTTTTTTCCCACCACAACAACCCTGTGAGGTGGGCTGGGCTAAGAGAGAGAGAGGGGGGGAGGGAGGGACCTAACTGGCTTTCATGCCTAAGGCAGGACTAGAACTCACAACTCCTGGTGCTTGGCCCAAAGTCACCCAGCCGGCTTTCATGCTTAAGGCGGGACTCGATCTCAGAGCCTTTTGGTTTCTAGGCCAGCACTTTAACCACTAGGCCACACTGCCTCTCACCCAACCCCTGGTCACCTAATGAACTTCCTGCCTAAGTGGAGATTTGAACTCAGATCTCTCTAATTGGTGTGTTTTCCCCATTAATCTGGTAACCCAGCAAGTTCCCACTCACTGGTCACCGTCTCACTTCCGTCTCTCAGGTCCACCACCGAAATCCGGAAGGAGAAATCCCGAGACGCAGCGCGATGCCGACGCAGCAAGGAGACGGAGGTGTTCTACCAGCTGGCCCACACCCTGCCCTTCGCTCGGGGGGTGAGCGCCCACCTGGACAAGGCCTCCATCATGCGCCTGACCATCAGCTACTTGAGGATGCATAAGCTGCTGAATTCTGGTAAGGGGGGGGGTCCCGTTTCCCAAAGAAGGTCTTCATTGAAGGGGGGAGAACAGGAAAACTACGGAAGACCCCCCCAAACCGCCGTTCTCAGAATGGCAGAGCTGGAAGGGACCTTGGAGGTCTTCTAGTCCAACCCCCTGCTGCCATTTTTTTTTTTTGGGCTGCCATTTTTCAGCAAAAACCATTGTAAAACATGGCCGTGGAATTGCAGGACGCAGCAAACGGTCCCAAATGTGGCCTGATTGCTGAGCATCAAAACTCCCGGGAATTCTGGGAGTTGAAGTCCACTAGTCACGGTCCTCCAGCCCTGCCTGAAAGCAATTTTTACAAACTCTGTTGACCCAGGAGAATGGCGAGATCAAGTCAAAGCAGAAGAGCAGGTGGATTCTTACTACCTGAAGGCCCTGGATGGCTTCCTGATGGTCCTGACTGAGGAAGGGGACATGATCTACCTCTCTGAGAATGTCAACAAGCACCTGGGCCTCAGCCAGGTGAGCAGGAGGAGCTCGCACAGGTGGGAAGGGGCCGTTCAACCCCAGATGAGTCAGTTTGATCAATGGTTAAGGCACCAGGCTAGAAAGTGGGAGCTCATGAGTACTAGTCCCATGTTAGGCATGAAAGGCAGCTGGGAGACTTCGGTCCAACCACCAGGAGTCTGGGAGTTCTAGTCCCGCCTCAGCCATGAAAGCCAGCTAGGTGACTTTGGGCCAATCACCAGGAGACTGGGGTTCTAGTCCCGCCTCAGCCATGAAAGCCAGCTGGGTGACTTTGGGCCAATCACCAGGAGACTGGGAGTTCTAGTCCCGCCTCAGCCATGAAAGCCAGCTGGGTGACTTTGGACCAATCACCAGGAGACTGGGAGTTCTAGTCCCGCCTCAGCCATGAAAGCTACTGGGTGACTTTGAGCCAATCACCAGGAGACTGGGAGTTCTAGTCCCACCTCAGCCATGAAAGCCAGCTGGGTGACTTTGGGCCAATCACCAGGAGACTGGGAGTTCTAGTCCCGCCTCAGCCATGAAAGCCAGCTGGGTGACTTTGGGCCAGTCATTCTCTTTCAGCCCCACCCACCTCACAGGGTTGCTGTTGTGGGGAAAATAGGGGGAGGAAGGTGTGTTGGATATGTTCACCTTCTTGAGTTAATTTGTAAATATAAATAAGGGAGGGATACAAAGAAATAAATGCAAATAAAAACGAGCCAGTCTCACGCATGTTGGATCCTGGAAGCCTTTTTGGGAGAAAAAAATAAATGAAGACAATGCATCTCTGTCGGTCTTTGCTGACATTTTCTGTTTTAAATTTCGGAGGGGTCAACTTCAAAATTCCTCTCCCACCCTTGCAGGCTGATTTTTGAATGGGTCTTTTTGTTCTTCGGGTTTAGCTTCCATTTTATTTTTTAGATGATTCCGGAGAGACGGAACCGGGTTGGGAAATAAGGTTAAGAAGGCGATTTTAGACATTCCAGCAAAGCTGGAAGTGAATTGAATCCCCCTTTTTTGCTGAAATGTATTTCAAACGAGCAAATGCCTTGGTCTTTTTTTTTTTTTTTTTTTTGCAAAATTCCCTGGGCTGTTTTTTTTGTTTGTTTATTTTTTTACTCTCTCTAACTTTTCTTTCTTCCGAAACGAAATCACGTTCCTGATTTTGCTGAATGAACAAGGGCCTTTGCGCAAAATGTTGCCCATAAGGCTGTCTTTCATCCTGTACAAGAGCCCCCCCCCCCATGCAAACTTCTGCAAGCTTTTAGTCTCCGCCTCCTTTTCATCTTTTGCAAAATTTGAGCTAAAGGAGAGAAAAAAAAAAAGAAGAAAAAAATTCTCACTCGGGGTGGGCCCAAATATTTTTGGAAACATTTCTTCCCCAACTGGAATCTGATTGAAAAGTTCTGAATGTTGTGCAGGGGAGGGGGAGGAGGGCTTTCTGATTGGCTGGCTCTGGGGAGATGCGCCCAGCCTTTCTCCCGGCTTCTCCCCTCCCCCCTGCATTCTGTGGTTGATTTTATTTTATTTTATTTTATCTCGTTTCCTTTCGCTAGTTGGAGCTGATTGGCCACAGCGTGTTTGATTTCATCCACCCCTGTGATCAGGAGGAGCTGCAGGATGTGCTGAGCCCCAGGCAGGGTGAGTCTCCCCCTGTTCAAAGGAGGGATAGGGGATCGCAGCGAGGTCCCCATTCCTTCAGCCCTTTCCTCCTCTGTGCAGCCGGGTGTGCATTGTGCAACTCTTGCATGGGTGTGTTCAAATTGTAGGTTGCTTAAGGTCCTCTAGCATCAGCTCCTTCTCCTCCTCTTCCTTTTTCTTCTTCCCTTTTCTTCTCTTACTCTTTCTCCTCCTTCCTTCTTTTCTTTCTTCCCTTCTCCTTTTCCTTTTCTTTTTCTTCCTCTTTCCTCCTCTTCCTTCCTCCCTTCCTCTTTTTTCCTTTCCTTCCTTCCTTCCTTCCTTCCTTCCTTCCTTCCTTCCTTCTTTCCTTCCTTCTCCTTTCCCTTCTCTTTTTCTTCCTCTTTTTTCCTTCTGCTCCTCCTCTTTCCTTCCTATCTCCTTTTCTCCTTTTCTCCTTTTCTTTTCCCTTTCTTCCTTTCCTTCTCTTCCTTCCTTCTTCCTTTCTCCCTCTCTCCTTCCCTTTCCTTCCTTCCTCCCTCCCTTCTTCCCTCCTTCCCTTCATTCCTTCCTTCCTTCCTATCTCCTTTTCTCCTTTTTTCCTTTTCTTTTCCCTTTCTTCCTTTCCTTCTCCTCTTCCTTCCTTTCTTCCTTCTTCTTCCTTTCTCCTTCTCTCCTTCCCTTTCCTTCCTTCCTCCCTTCTTCCCTCCTTTTCTTCCTTCCTTCCTTCCTTCCTTCCTTCTCCTTTTCTCCTTCCCTTCCTTCCTTCCTTCCTTCCTTCCTTCCTTCCTTCCTTCTCCTTTTCTCCTTCCCTTCTTTCCTTCCTTCCTTCCTTCCTTCCTTCCTTCCTTCCTTCCTTCCTTCCTTCCTTCCTTCTCCTTTTCTCCTTCCCTTCTTTCCTTCCTTTCCCTTTTTCTCCTTTTTTCCTTCTCCATTTCTTTCCCCCCCTCGTCTTCCTCCTCCTCCCCTCCCCTTTGTAGCCTCCTTGAATCAGATTGGTGATCTGCCCCCCCCCCCCCGTGCATTTTGACCTGTTTCGAAACAGAAACGTCAAAAAAGCAAAATAAAACCTGAAGTTAAGTCTTCGATAATCTCCAGATACCCATTTTGCTCACAGACACCTGATTCCCCAAAGCCGGGACCAAACCTTTTGGGCGCGTCCCGTCCCCCGCTCCCTTCCCACCCTGCCCCCGTTGGGCCCATCCATGCACCCCCAAATCCTGATCAGCATTTGATCCCGGCTGTCCCCAGGTTTCTCCAAGAAGGGGGAAGTGAAGACGGAGCGCAACTTCTCCTTGCGCATGAAGAGCACTCTCACCACCAGGGGGCGCACCGTCAACCTCAAGTCGGCCACCTGGAAAGTGAGCAACTCCCCCCCCCAGGGTTTTTTTTTTCGGGGGGGGGGGACAAAAGCAGATTTGGGCCACACACAGACACACACACACACACACAGACACACACACAGACACACACACACACACGAAACAGGAAAAGGGGTCTTTTTGAGGGTGGGGGCTGTGCTTGATAAAATTATAGACTAAATATAAAATAAAAATGAAATCCAAGAAGCCTGCCGTTCCCAATCACTTTTGACTTTCGGTGGGATAATTGTGAGGAGCGAACGCCGGCTAATCCCGTCTTCCCCCAGGACAGGGGTAGGCCACCTTGGCTCTTTTATGACTCGTGGACTTCAACTCCCAGAATTCCTGAGCCAGCTGGCTCAGGAATTCTGGGAGTTGAAGTCCACGAGTCATAAAAGAGCCAAGGTGGCCTACCCCTGCCCCAGGAGATGCTTAGTGGGCGTCCTTTCGGCTTTTGCAAAACATGAGATATGGAGAAGCCATCCGGAGATCGTCCATTTGAGTGGCGCATCCTGGAGCACTGGCACGCCAGGGAATCCAGGGATGGGAAACAGGTTGATCCTGTTCCCAGGAAGGCCCACGCACCTGCAAAAGCAGGGCAGGGTATAGGCAGTGGCCGACCTAGCACCAACGCTTACGGCCGTTGCAGCATCCCCAAGGTCACGCGATCAAAATTCAGACGCTCGGCAACTGACTCCTATTTATGAGGGTTGCCGTGTCCTGCGGTCCCGTGATCCTCTTTTGCGGGTTTCTGACAAGCAAAGTCAATGAGGGAAGCCAGGTTCACTTAACAACTGCGTTACACGCATAACCGCTGTAATAACCATTTAATAACCGCCACGAGGAAGGTCACAAAATGGGGCAAAACTGACTTAACTGTTTTGCTTAGCAACAGAAACATCGGGCTTAGTTGAGGTCAGAGTTCGAGGTCCACCTGTATCCGATGGAGTCCACGAGTCATATATTGAATCTTATTAAATACATATCAATAAAAATATAAATAAATTATGTATCGTTCTTTGTTTATTCAGTTTATTTCTTGCCGCCCATTGCTTAACAAAACGACTGGGCGACCTTTTGGGAGGGTGGGCCCATCTCAGCACCCCCACAAGGGGCCGGCCAGAATAAAAGTGTGGGGGGGGGCTTGCATCCGTCGGTTGCCCTCAGCTTCCTCCCTCTCCCCTTCCAGGTGCTGCATTGCTCTGGGCACATGCGCTGTTATGCGCCGTCCAAGCTGGCTGCAGGGAAAGAAGGTGAAGGTGGCTTTACAGAACCCCCATTGCGCTGCCTGGTGCTCATCTGCGAGGCGATCCTGCACCCCGCCAACATCGAGACCCCCCTGGACAGCGGCACCTTCCTCAGCCGTCACACCATGGATATGAAGTTTACCTACTGCGACGACAGGTGAGCGGGGAAAACTGGCTGGGGAATTCTGGGAGTTGAAGTCCACAGGTTTGAAAGCTGCCAAGGTTGGACACCCCTGCTCTAGCTGAAGTCAGCCAGAATTTTTTTAAAAAATATATTTTATTGATTTTTTTTTTAACATAATCATCAAGATTTGGTAAACAGTGTCTCGTCTGGGTTTATATTGACAAACAATCCACAACAATTAATTTCTAACATTCCGTACTCCACATAACAACTGTGCTTGATTTTTCTCCTCTTCCAATAATATTCTTTTTTGTCGACCTTAAATTAGTACATTTCTTAGTAATTTTAGTAGATACTGTATATTCCGGCATATAGGGTGACCCGGCGTATAAGACGACCCCCGAGTTCGACGCCGGGTCGCAAGACGATCGACGCTGAGTCACAAGACGATCGACGCCGAGCCGTATGCCTAGAAAGTCGTCTTACACGCCGGAAACTACCGGTATTTCCGGCGTATAAGATGATCGACGCCGAGTCGCATGCCTAGAAAGTCGTCTTATACGCCAGAAACTACCTTATTTCCGGCGAATAAGACGACTCGGCGTATAAGATGACCCCCGAGTTCGACGCCGGGTCGCAAGACGATCGACGCTGAGTCACAAGACGATCGACGCCGAGCCGTATGCCTAGAAAGTCGTCTTACACGCCGGAAACTACCGGTATTTCCGGCGTATAAGACGATCGACGCCGAGTTGCATGCCTAGAAAGTTGACTTATACGCCGGAAACTACGTTATTTCCGGCATATAAGACGATCGACGCCGAGTCGCATGCCTAGAAAGTCGTCTTATATGCCAGAAACTACCTTATTTCCGGCGAATAAGACGACTCGGCGTATAAGATGACCCCCGAGTTCAGAGGCTGTTTCAACGCTCTCAAAAGTCATATTATATGCCAGAACATACGGTAACAATTGAATATAGACATTTTACAGGTATTTCTACAAGTCACAACCACATCCATATAAATCTTCTACTGAATCACTCGGCCAGAATATTCCCTGATTATTATCCCATTTCTCCTGGGCCAGGATTGTCGAGATGGCTGGTTACACCTCTGAAAGCTTGCTTGGCTGCTCCCTCTACGAGTACATCCACGCCTTGGATTCGGATTCCATCAGCAAGAGCATCAACACCCGTAAGTTCAGCATGGCGCAGGCCTGGCCGGTTCTTCCCGAGTTTTGGCCCTACTTGGAAGGAGCCCCTCCCTGCCGCAGAAAAAAAAGGGAGAAGAGTAGGAAAAGACAGACTTGACAGAGCACCGAGGGAGGGATTCCCAACCTGTGGGCTGTAGCCCACTCCCGGTCCATGGCTTACTCGCAACCGAGCCGCGTGGGTGGCTGGCTGGTGCGTGCGCGTGTCACACAGCCAAGTGAGTCACCGGTCTCACTCAGCAACAGAAAGTTTGGGCTCAATTGTCGCCGTAAGTCGAGAATTACCTGTAGATGCAAGCCTAAAAAACTGAATATTGCTAGGGAGGGACGAGGAGTTTGATGCCCCCATTGGAGAGAGTCTTTTGGGTGACACATCGCCCTGTCGTTTAGGAAGGGGGGGAGCGACCGTCCACTCCGCATCCAGACAACAGCGGCTTGGGAGAGGTCGTGTGGAAGGGGACTCGGGTGCTAGGAAGGGGCTAGATTTCCACCCAGACAGCGAATCCTGTTCCGCCTTACCGTCTCTTCCCATCTCCCCGCTTATCCGTTTGTCTGTCTGTTCTAGACTGTCTGTCTTTCACTCCCTATTGGTAGTGCTAAGCAAGGGCCAAGCCGTGACCGGGCAGTACCGCTTCCTAGCCAGGAATGGTGGCTACATCTGGATCCAGACCGAGGCCACCGTCATCTCCAGCAGCAAGAACTCCCAACCCGAGAGCATCGTTTGCATGCATTTCGTCTTGAGGTCAGTCCAGGGGAGGTCAAAAACTTCAAGATGGGGGCCGTCCCCAACCCCCCCCCCGGATTCCCTGCCTTCCAATTCCCAAGCCTGCTTGGCTGCCTGTGAAGAACAGAGGTGGAAATAACCGCTGAGTCTTTTGGAATACGGGTAGTCCTCGGCTTAACGACCACAATTTCTGTTGCTAAGCAAGGCGGTTGTAAAGTTGCACCTTGTTTTACAGCCTTGCAATCGTTGCCCTGCAGATGTTAAGCGAATTATGTCACCGGATTTCTCCATTTTGGTTTCACCCCGCTGTACGACCTCTCTTTCCATCGTTGTTAAGTGAATCGCCACAATTGTTAAGTGATTCTGGCTTCCACCATTGATTTTGCTGGCCAGAAGGTCACGAACGGGAATCACGTGAACCCGGGATGCGGCTAGCCTCATAAATGTGAGCCAGTTGCGCAAGCGTCCAAATTTTAATGGTGGGAAGCAACAGTGATTACGTCGCTTTTTTTCAGTGCCGTTGTAGCTTTGAACGGTCACTAAACGAACGATCGAAAGCCGAGGGCTACCTGTATTAAATGAAACATAAAATATGCTAAATATTATAATTGTGAGATGTTTCTCTAGACTCAGATGGGGCTGGGGGGACAGCAGCGCCAGGTGGCCCTTCCAGCCACTGTCAGCAGAGGGCGACATTGTGCTGGTCGCCCAGCGCTCAGATGCCATAGAGTTTTTTAAATTTGGCAACTTTCAGACAGGCGGGCTTCAGCTCCCAGAATTCTCCAGCCAGCAGTGCTGGCTGGAGAATTCTGGGAGTTGAAGTCCGCCTGTCTGAAAGTTGCCAAGTTTGAACCACATGCTGTTGAGGGCCACGGAGATGGCTTTGGAGAAACTACCTCCATCCAACTCGGCGCGTCTGTTTTCCAACCTGGCCTACCTTGAAGGGTTCCAGGTTGCCCCCCTCTCTTTCCCTAGCCAGGTGGAAGAGAATGGCCTGGTCCTGTCCCTGGAGCAAACGGACCGCCAAGGGGAGCATCGCCGGCTGCCCCCGCCCTGCCTCGAAGGGCTGGACTCCGAGAGCGCCTTGGATGAGATGGACCCCAACGGAGGAGACACCATCATCAACCTCAGCTTTGGTGAGGAAAGAGGGTGGTGGGCAAGGCTTGGGGAGGAGATCCCGGCTCCCCCCTCCCCTAACTCAGTGCTTTCATTCCCCAGAGCTTCGTGGTCCCAAAATCCTGGCCTTCCTGCGCCCGGCCAACATCAGCGAGGAGGAATTGCAGCTGGATCCCAAACGCTTCTGCAGTCCGGATCTCCAGAAATTGCTGGGGCCCATCTTTGACCCGCCCGGGGCTCAGAACTCAGCAGGGGGGACCGTGCGGGCAAAACCCCCTGCCCCAATTGCCAAGCTGGCTCCAGTGGTTAAGAAGGCATCTGGAAACCACAGTCCAGTAAGGCAACCTGGAGGGCCACTCTGGGTTGGGGATGGCTTAAATGTATTTATTTATCTGGCTGTCCATCCATATCTATGTCTGTCTATCCATCCATCATCTCTCTCTCTCTCTGTGTCTGTCTCTGTCTCTGTCTCTCTCTCTTCTCTCTCTCTCACACACACACACAAACACACACCTATCTATTCATTCTTCCACTCACCCACCCACCCACCCATCCACCCATCTATCTACCCACCCACCCACCCGTCTATCTATCTATCTATCTATCTATCTATCTATCTATCTATCTATCTATCTATCTATCTATCTATCTATCTATCTATCTATCTATCCATCCATCTATCCATCTATATCTATTTATCTATCTATGTATCTGACAATAAAAGTTGTCTGTCTGTCTATCTATCTCTCTATCTAGAATGTCTATCTATCTATCTATCTATCTATCTATCTATTTATCTATCTATCTATCTATCTATCTATCTATCTATCTATCTATCTATCATGCTGTATGTTACATCCTGTTAACCCAAATATGGGAGAGAGCTGCCTAACATGCAGACAGCCCAGGTTCGAATCTCAGAAGGGTATGTCTGGTTGAAAAGAACTAAAAAGTTCGAAATAGCTATTCCAGTTCTCCCTTAATTCTTTGCTAGCAATCCAAATTTTAGAAATCTATGTATGTATGTATATGTGTGTGTGTGTGTGTGTGTGTGTGTGTGTCTGTCTGTCTATCTATCTATCTGACAATAAAGGTTGTCTGTCTGTCTGTCCATCCATCTATCTACCTACCTACCTACCTACCTACCTACTCACCCACCCATTCATTCATCTATTTATCTATCCCTCTATCAGTCCCTGGTTAAAAGGAGCTGGGAGGGAAGGGGCCAGAGCCGTACACACTTCTGCCCTCTCTCTGTTGATCGCCTTGTGGTAACTTTTCCCTGTCTACCTGGGCCTTCCCTTGACATCCCGGGGGGCCAGGAAGGCAAAGGCTCTGTTTGGAAAAGGAGCTGGCACCAAGGGGGGGGGGGGCTTGCACCAGCCTTCAGCTTCTCCTTCTCTGCCTGCAGGCGGACCTGCCCGAGGAGTTGGTGTTTGACATGGAGAACGTGCAGAAGCTCTTTGCATCCAACAAGGAGGAGCAGAGCGTGGAGACGACCCTGCAGGTAGGACCATGCTTGGGCAGAGAAGGGGGTCTGTTGGGAGGCTTGGGCCAAGCGGCTTCTCAGGTCCATCTGCGGGTAGTCCTCGACTTACAACTGTTTGCTTAACGATCGCAAAATTACAAGGGCACTGAAAAAAGCGTCTTGGGATCCTTTTCTACCCTTGCGGTCCCATGATCAAAATGTCCATGTTTGGCGACTGATTCGTGTTTACGACGGCTGCAGCGTCCCAGGGTCACACGGTCGCCTTTTGTGACCGTCTGGCAAGCGAAGCCACTGGGGAAGCCAGGCTCGCTTTGGGACTGTGTTACGAGCTTAACAACTGCAGCGGTTCACTTAACAACCGGGGCAAGAAAGTCAGAAGGTGGGGCAGTTAACTACTTGCTCGCTTAGTAACGGAAATTTGGGGTTCAGTTATGGTTGTAAGTCGAAGACTATTTGTATCACCCTCATGGGTGAAGAACCTGCTTCCTTCCTTAATTTTATTGTGTCCTGTTTTCAGAACAAAACTCGTGTTGCTGATCGGTTCTCATCCCCCAAATTCTGGGAAAGGGGATTTCGGATTTTCAGCTACTGTGCTATCAAAACAACCCATTTAGGAAAGAACCCCCCAAGTGTTGGGGTATCTTTCAGTCCCCCCCCCCATTCTTCTGTATGACTCAGTGTCCGTGGAGATTCTCCAGGCCGTGGTTGTCCCAAAGGTGGTTTTTCCAACTGGACTTTCCTTTTTTTTTTTTCTTTGAAAACATTTCGTTTCTCACCCAAGAAGCTCCTTCAGTTCTAACAGAATAACAGAGCTGGAAGGGACCTTGGAGGTCTTCTAGTCCAACCCCCTGCTCAAGCAGGAGACCTTATACCAGTTCAGCCAAGTGGCTGCCCAGTCTCTTCTTGAAAACCTCCAGTGATGGAGCACCCACAACTTTTGGAGGCAAGCTGTTCCACTGGTTAATTGTCCTTCCTGTCAGGAAGTTTCTCCTTAGTTCTAGGTTGCTTCTCTCCTTGGTTAGTTTCCATCCGTTGCTTCTTGTCCTGCCTTCAGGCGCTTTGGGGAATAGCTTGACTCCCTCTTCTTTGGGGCAGCCCCTCAGATATTGGAGCACTGCTATCTTGTCCCCCCTTCTCCCCCAAGGTCCTTCTTTTCATTATTAATAATAATAATAATAATAATAATAGTAGTAGTAGTAGTAAAGTTGGAAGGGACCTTGGAGGTCATCTAGTCCAACCCCCTGCTCAGGCAGGAAACCCTACACTATTTCGGACAAATGGCTGTCCAGTCTCTTCTTAAAAACTTCCAGTGTTGGAGCATTTACTGCTTCTAGAGGCAGGCTGTTCCACTGATTAATTGTTCTCACTTTCAGGAAGTTTCTCCTTAGTTCTAGGTTGCTTCTCTCCTTGATGAGTTTCCATCCGTTGCTTCTTGTCCTGCCTTCAGGGGCTTTGGAGAAGAGCTTGACTCCCTCTTCTTTGGGGCAGCCCCTGAGATACTGGAAGACTGCTATCCTGTCCTCCCTCATCCTTCTCTTTGTTAAACTAGACATACCCAATTCCAGCAACCGTTCCTTATATGTTTTATCCTCCAGTCCCCTAATCCTCTTCGTTGCTCTTCTCTGTACTCTTTCTAGAGTCTCAACATCTTAAACTAGACATTCCCAATTCCTGCAACCGTTCTAGGTTCTGCCTGGCTCCCAATTCCACTGGGAACTCTCTGCTCCCTCTTGCAGGATTACGAAGGCCTCGACCTGGAGATGCTGGCTCCATACATCTCGATGGACGACGATTTCCAGCTCAGCAGCACCGACCACCCGCCCTGGCTGGCCGAGAAGCGAAGAGATCCGGCGGGGGCAGGAGCCCGGCCCGCTTCGCCCCCTCCCAGGCCTCGGTCTCGAAGTTTCCATGGCGTCTCTCCACGCCCACCAGAAGCGCCCACCCTTCCCCGCTGGGGCAGCGACAGCAGTTTGAGCCAGGGCCGTCCCGTCGAGACATCTCTGGCCAACTCGCCCTGCGGAGAAGGCCAGATGGTGGAGATGGTGGCGTCGGTCAAGATCCAGTCTGTGCAGGACGGGGCCGGTCTGAATGGCCACAGGTCCCCCCTGGGCGGGAAAAAGAGGTCAGGCAGCGACTTTCATTTGGTCAGAATTTGTAGGGTGGCTGATGAGCTCTGTTCCCGGGCAAATATGGCCGTGGCTGACTGGAGAATTCTGGGCGTTGAAGTCCACTCACCTTAAAAAAAATTCCCCAAGGTTAAGAAACATTGATCTCAAATAGATGGCCTTCATTAGCCATTTTGTTTTCAGAGAAGCTCATCTTTGGATTGTGTGGCACAGCCCGCCTCATTTACCCTCCCTCCCGGCGGACACCCCAGCTTGAACCCGTGTTTGGCTAAAGTTTTCTGCTTTTCCCCCAACAGGGCTCGGGAAATTAGCCTGGATGAAGAGAGGGATCTCTTCCTGGAAACCAGTCCCCCCAAGCGTGCCCATAACCACGAGGCTGAGGGATTCCTGATGCCCTCGCTTAGCCTGGTAGGTGCCCCATCCATTGGGAAGGAGAGGCCCCAGGATGCAGCTGGCACATCCGCTGACGTCCACACAAGACTCCTTTGTGATAGACAACCTGTTCTTCCAGGGCTTTCTGCTCAGTGTGGAAGAGTGTCTGGATGCCCGGTCCGAGCGGGGCTGCGGGGGCACTGTAGCCCTGGGCAAGAAGCTGCTGGCCCTGGAGGAGCCCATGGGTGAGTGCCACGGGGGTCTGGGTTTGAGAGGTTGTGTGAACAAGGCTTGGTGGGGTCAGCACAGAACTCCTGGCCTGTCCCTTTGACCTGGCAGTCCTGAAGGAACTTTCTCGTGTGTTGGGTCCCTGAAGGCAGCTGCTTATGGGAGAAAAAGCATAAAGCTGATCCTTACCTCTTTGGGTGGATCTCTCCCATGTCCCGTTTGGCTCCTAAGAGTTAAGTGGGGTCCTTGGTGCTCTCTGAGGTTAGTTGTTTTCTTCTAGACGTTTCATGACCTAACTGGTGACATCATCAGTGCTAGAAGGGGGGGGTTGTGGAGTGGAGGAGGAGGAGGACTGTGGGGTCCGTGGTGCTTTCTGAGCTTGGAGGTTTCCTTGCAGATGTTTCATGACCCAACTAGGAAACATCATCAGTGCTAGAAGGGAGGGGCGGTTGGAGGAGGAGGAGGAGGTCTTCTTGCAGATGTGTTATTACTCAATTAGGGACTATCCTCAATGCTGGGAGAGGGGCTTGAGAAAGAGAGGAAGAGAAGAAGAGGACGACTGTGGAGTCTTTGGTGCTCTCCAAGCTTGGTGGTTTTGCAGACATTTCATGACCCAACTAGGTAACATCATCAGTGGTGGAAGGGAGTGGGGTTTGCCCTCTTTTTTATATACCAGTGGCTGACTCTGACAGCGTGGGTGCGGTGATCTTTTCTTCTTGGTAGTTAAAAAGAGAACGAAGCCTACTCCCTTCTAGCATCGATCATGGGATACCAGCAAGAGGCCCAGTTGATGTTTGGCAAGGGCATCCTTGTGAATCCTGAGAGATATAGTCTTGTCAGGCGCAAGAAGCTGGATCCGCTCACAGAAGGTCCAAGTCAGCAGCTTTATTGTGTTCTACCTATATTACAAGAATCTGCCCAGATTGCTTGCCTTCCCTTGGGATCCGCTAGACAAGCGCCCATGGAATTGAGGTGGAGTCAGCCTTATGCCCCTTGCAGCTGTGCAAGGACTCAAGGCTAGTTCCCCACTTGACGCCTCCTCCTCCTCTGCTGGCTGGGACTTTCCCGACAGTCTCAAGACATCTTACCATGGCCAGATTTGAGGGGGAAGCGTTAAAGGAAGGCCCCAGCTCCTGATGACCTCTCTCTCGCCCTTCCGGCTCTCTGCCTCCAGGCCTCTTAGGAGACATGCTGCCCTTCGTGGTGGACGGACCAGCGCTCTCCCAGCTGGCCCTGTACGATGGCGAGGAGGAGGTCTCCGGGCGTGGTGGAGAGCATTTCCAGCTGGGGGAGGAGCTCCTGGTGGAGCTGGACCAGGCCACCTGAAGTGGCGCCCTTGACCACCACCCCCTCCACACCTTCATCCCACACTCCTGCTCTGCAGATGGGACACCCGGAACCAAATCCAACCAAATGCCCTCGGGGAGGGGTTCCTCCCGGCCCTCTTCCCCGCCCGTCCACCCTCCACTGGCGTTCTTAGGACTCTTCCTATCTCAGTCCCATTCCTTTCCCCAGCAGCCTCTCCCCTCCGTAGACGGTAGGGAGGAAGGCTCTGCCACCCCATTTGGTGCTTATCCACCTGAATGTTCTTGAACAACCGGAAAAGGGGCCAGGAGTGGGATCGATTCATGGAGGGGGTCTGCTCTCTTCATCCCCCAGAGGAAGAGAAAGCACCACAGAGGGATCCCCCGGACGAGAAAGAGGGGTGCAGCTGCCCCTCAGAACCCATGGGGGGCTGTATCTTCTCCTCTGTCCTCAGCTTGCTGGGACAGACCCTTCAGCATGCGCCCAGACTGTGAGATCAGCCATTCCTGGGCAAAAGGGTTCACCCCTTTGAGGGAGGTAAAAAAGTGGGGGGACCTGCTCTGAGAACAGAATGACCATCCGCCGTTAGCCTCTCGGGGGACGCCTCGCTGCGACTCCCCCCAAATACTCATGGTGCCTCCCATTGACCTCAAACCAAGGTCTGCCATTTGGAAAGGAAAACCAGATCTCCTTGGAGCTTCTGCTCCTGAGAGGACATCGTTCCTCTTAAGATGGCCAACGTCTGAATAATCAGTCCCCAGAATGAAACAGCGGTGCTTCGGCCCTCTCAGGGCCTAGTTAAAGATCAATCTATGTTTACAATCTCCATTTCTGCCCACATTCGGTGCAGAGGAATTGGATGCCATGTAGAAACAAAGCAAGCTGGAAAGAAAACTCAGATTAAAAAAAAAAGAAGAAAAATTAAAAAAGCATGCCACCTTTCCCTTATCAAGCAATCATCAGGTGAGTTTTGCATGTAGCCAGCAGATCCCTGACTCAGCCAGATGTCCTGGCAGCCAAAGCACATCTGGAAACAGCCAGATTGGGGAAAACTGGCTAGCTTGAAAATTTTGAATAGGAAAAAACCAAAAAAAAAAAAAAAAACCACAACCCCCTCAATATCCCCCTATGCAATATTTTGAAACTGCCAGTAATCAAAATTTTCCAGAAAAACGGGGGGGGGGGATTGCAAAACCCTAAATCCTAGAAAGGGATTGCAAAGTCCTAAATCTGAAGATAAATGTTCAGGAGCCTTAAAGCGTGGCCTGACACTTCTTTAAAAAAGACCATTTCCACGACAAGCTTTTTGCGGTGAAGAGGAGAGCGGCCATCCTGTTTTTAAACCTCAGGAGGGACGGCCTGCCGCGAAGATCTTTGATAACGAAAAACGCTTTTCGTTAAGCGAGTTTGAACCGGTGCTATGAAATGTTATCCATTGTTAGAAAGGACACTGTTGTCGATATTTCAATCACTTTTTTTTTTCTACTTTAACGAAAGGGGAATCGACATTTCCCTCACCCTCACCCGTCAGGCTTACTTGGAAGTAAGTTGCGCTAAATCCAGGGCAACTTCATCCGAAGTAATGATGTTTTTCAAACTTGGTTGCTTTGAGATGGGTTGGACTTCAACTCCCAGAATTCTGGGAGTTGAAGTCCACCCATCTGAAAAAGTTTGAAAGACGGGCGGTGTGGGAATCACACCCAACTTTTTTAGAGCCCGATTTTATGAATGTTTTACTTAGAAGCTATTGTCATGGTGCTCAGTGGGTTTACGTTAATTTCAACTCAAGTTGATTGCAGTCTGATTGGCAGCGTGGAAAGGGAACTCTCTTTTGGCTCGTATGGAAAATGGTTTTTCAAATGAAATCACCAAGTTCCATTATTTAGAAATCAGCCTTTTGCATAACTCTCCTTCGGGCTTAAAAACGAGCTGCTTTTCCATTCTGCAAGTCCACTTGTACTGGACAAACAGACATTATCAAAATATCGATTCACCTTCCCTCTTGTCCCCAGAAGCCCCCCCCCAAAAGCTTTAATACTTATTAAAGAGGTTGCAGTTACAATACATAATCTTGAAAGTTGGCCCAGGAAGGAGAATGTTGGCCAGTGTGTAAGTCCCGTTGTAACGTTATCCCAGTGAGTAAAGCTTGATTTAGACTTGCTGGCAACTGCCCGTAGGCATCAGCACGTATCTACGCCGCAAACGGGGTGGATAGGTAAGCGTAGATTGCAGATGGTTGCCAATAGGCCCACACCTCCCAAATCCCAACTCTGTGTGGTACGGAGCTGCACATGCTTCAGGACGTCAACATCTGCAGAATTATAAGTGCCCCAGCTACGCCGTCATTTCCGAACGACTAGCAGGCATGTTCTCTGATGTGCAGTGATACAGAAGCCTAAACCAAGCTTAAAACACTTGATTGAATTGCATCAGACACTGACCAAAATTCTCCTCTCTGTGTGGCACTTAAAATCCCCGCAACCCTTGGGATGTTATATTACTAAATACCTTTAGCAGTGGGCTGGGAGGGAGGTCCCCAATATTCCCAGTTTAGAAAAAAAAAAAAACAAGTTTCCTTGTTTTTGTTTTTATCATTTTTATATAGATACACACACAAACACACACATATATATATACATATATAAATCCCTCAGTTGCTTAGCCCTCGGCCTTGCTACTTTAACAGCAAACTTTGACCAGCTTTTTGCATGTTAAAGGTTGGATTTTGCACCCGGTCCCAAACCAGGCTTCACCTGCACAATTCACTGCTTCCCACCCATCCTGTGCAAATCCTTTGGATTTAAAAAAAATAAATAAGGAAAACTGAGTGATAGGAGACAGTGTAAGCTACAACCAGTGTTTCTCATGCCTCCCTTAGGTGTGTATGTGTGTATCCCGTTGGTGCATGTGTCTGAGTAAGGTCATTTAGCTGACCAGGAACCGAGCGACCCCCCACTTTCCCGTAGCAGAAGTGGCCCGGTTTCCCCGCTAGATAACAGCTCCAGAAGGCCTATATTTCAGAAGCTCCATAGTTTTAGAACTTTTAGCCAAGTTCTCTCATCCCTCTTGGTGCTTTCTTTGCCCCTCCCCCCACACACGTGGGGGGACACTCAGTAGGGGGGAGCACCCCATCCACAGGTGTTAATGGGCTCACACAGGACAGGCAAGTCCTGGCCCACGGTCCACGCACGATTGCCCATGTTTTCCAGAGTGGGGGCCTGCTCCCACCTAGCCGGGGAATGACCGTTTTGCAAAAATTTCGGGGTTTGCCCCCTCGCGAGGTGGCAACGGGACGGGTGAGCTCTCTTTCGGAGGGTCCCCCCCTCCCCATTCTCTTTCCCGATCAGCCGCGAAGAAAACCGCAGTCTTAAGAGGGGCCAGCCCTGCCCTGGACACCACCTTTGCCTCGGTCATTGTCCACCCGTGCCTTCACGTCGACAACTTCACCAGCTGCCACTGCAAAACTCGAGCTGACACGAATCCAGCCCCTTCCAATCGTCTCCCGGTTGAGAAGTGAACGTTGACTGTGGTCAGTGGCACAGTGGAACGGGAGAACGTGGCTAATTCCCAGACCGTCTGCATAAGGTAGATCCCACCTCGGTGCCACGGAGCACGCAACCCCCTTTCCCGACGTTGTCGTGGATTTGCAAGCTTTGCGGTTCATCCGAAGGCGAGAGAAGATGGCCGAAGGGGGTTGTGAGGAGAACCTGCTCCGCTTGGACCTACCAGCTCGGACTGTTCCCTTTTGTCGCGAGCCAAGCTCTCACGCACACCGACGTGTACACCAAGATACAAACGCACACACCAATGCAGTACACCAAGCACGCGCAATCTCACAAATCGACGGGCCACAACTGGCTCAGGCAGCTGTTGTTTTTTTTTTTTTTTTTCAAAAGCCGCACTTGACAAACACGCACAGAACAATAGAATTTCAAAGCCAGGTGAAGAACGCAGGATAAGATGTCTCTCTCTCTTTCTCTCTCTCTTCTTGTTTTTGTTGAGTTTGTTAGGATTCTAATTTTAAACCCCCAGCCACAGAGCAAAGGGGCATCTTTGCCTCCACTGACTGTCCGCTGTTCCATTTTGCTTTCTTTGTATCGTGTAACCTTCCAAATCCATTTTCTTTTCTTGGAGATCCTAGTGGGAAAATGAGGGTTCTCTCCGATTATTGTTGCCGTTGCCGGTTTGCTGTTATCATAGGAATTGTAGCTTTTTAACCGATCGTCTGCCCCAAAGCTGGACGCTGCCACCGCTTGCCCGGTTATCCTCTGATTGTCCAGCAGACCAGCTCCTCTTGGGATAGGAAGAGCAAGAGGTTGGTGTCTCTGGGTCTCCCCTGCCTGGGCCAGCGCCCGTGTCCACAACCCTCCCCTCCTGGCCTGCAAGGGGAACGTTTCTCGCCTGCTGCGGCCGTTTGTACTTCTGGGGACGCGTCGTGTAATGTCTGCGACCTTTGGTGCTAAGCTCTCCCCCCGAGCAACGGTGCTCTGTTACTCCTTGAATTTAGACCACGTTGTGGCCATGGTGCTCTCGTCCCCTTTCCGAGTCGCCTGGAACGGCTGCCAGCCAACAAGAGCAGGGTGACCGACCACCCGCCCGATCCCGACGGAGATCTGACCTCAGGCTGGCAGATGCCGCCCAAGTGCCGTGGTGCTGTGCTCTCTCACATCCTCCTCTCCCCCCCCGCCGCCAGATGACCCAGAGGCAGTGGTGCTAAGTCCCCTTGCCCGTCTCGGCCCTTCTTCGGAGGTCTGTTTGAAAAGCAGAACCGCCACCGAAAGACCCCCTGGGCTGTTGGAGTCTGCCCTGGCCGGGAAAAGCAACGGGTGCTCTTCCAGAGACCTTCAGAAGAGTTGGAGATGGGGGCAGCTCAGTGTGCCCCCCAAAAACACCCCTCTTTGGTTGTAATTGCTCAGTTGCTAGCCACGAGGCTCCCTCCTCGGTGGTGGGTGGACGATGGGTGGTGGGGAGCAAGTGGTTGCTTCCCTTTGGTGATGGGTGTCATCGAACCCAAAGCAGTCTGTCTGTGGAGATTCTCCATCTTCCAGATCCTGGTTGCCCCAAAGGTGTTTAAAAAAAAAAGGCAACTAGACTTGCTTTTTTTTTTTTGTCTTTGAAAATGTTTTGCTTCTCATCCAGGAAGCTTGTTCAGAACTAAAGAAGCTTCTTGGATGAGAAGCGAAATATTTTCCAAAAAAAAAACCTAAGGAAGATCAGTTGCCTTTTGTGTGTGCGGGGGGGAAAACACCTTTGGGCTAACCCAGGGGGTTCTCAACCTTGGCAACTTTAAGACTTGTGGACTTCAACTCCTAGAATTCCTCAGCCAGCTTTGCTGGCTGAGGAATTCTGGGAGTTGAAATCCACAAGTCTTAAAGTTGCCAAGGTTGAGAACCCCTGGGCTAACCCAAAGCACTTTGGGGACCAGGTGATCTGCTTTCCCCAACTCAGGGCTCTCCAGATGGGTTAGTCTTCTGCCATCTCGGCCAGCTCTAGCCAGGCTGGCTAGGAACGTTAGTAGCAAATATTCCAAAGTCTGAGGGGTACCAAGTAGATGAGATTGGGGTACAGCAGGCTGACCCACTTGCCGTCTACAGGCTGCACCTCCCACCGTCGTTTCCTAGACTGAGAAGAGGGAAATTTCAATGGTCTCTGGAAGACCACCCGTTGTACACCGTTACCACCCAGAGACACGACCTCCTGTTCTTCTGGACACCACTTTTACGCACACACATTGCCTTTCGCCCATATTGTCGTGCCAGCCAGCACTGATAAATTAAGGTCTTGGAGCTGTCTTCTGGGGAAGCTTTCCCTGGTGGACAGGTCTCCTTGAAGCTCAGCCTGCTCAACGTTCTCTTGTCCCAAACTTTGAGATCTGCCCAGAAGACCCTTGTTTTATCTTGATGCTAATGAAGCCCAGTTACCTGGCCAGGTGCCCTGTGCAATCTGGATGTACACCCCAGAGTTGGGCCCAGCATCCTTGAGTCCTCCAAAGCGAAGACTTGATGATGTTCTCTCCTTGTCCTACAAGCCTTTGGGAGTATACATCTATCGTTGGGCTCTTCTCTCAAGTGCCTCGTCGATTCCCAATTGGGGATGGTGGGTGTCAGTAATTTGTTTCTAAGCCAGGTTTGCTTATCATACAACACCAGGCAAAACAATGTTAGAGTTATTGGTGGTTCAGCATGGTGGTTCAGCATTATCTCACCTGTCCTATAAAGCAGATCACGGCTCATTTGCTTGGTCACGCCCGATTATACAGACCTAAAAATTACATTTTCTGAAACCAGATTTCAGGTTTAATCAATATAAACTGAGAATCCATGCTATGCCATCTCGGGAACATTAACTTTGGAACACGTTAGTGGCAGCTTTCTTGAAAACATGTAGTTATGCAAACGGGTTAGAGATTAGAGGCCGGTGACTAATAATGTAGAGCCTACTTTTTCAAAATCTGATAATATTGATAGAAGAGAATATTTGAAGCTCAGGATTGAACTGTGAGCTCCTTGGTGCTCTCTTGACATTTCATGACCCAACTAGGTAACATCATCAGTGCTGGAAGGGAGGTGGGGTTGCGCGCTCTCCAAAGACTTTGCTCTACAGTCCTCCTAGTACTGATGATGTTACCTAATTTGGATATGAAACATCTGCAAAGAAGCCACCAAGCTCAGAGATCACCAAGGGCCCCACAAAATACGATGTGTGGAACTTCAGCCTTTACCATCCCTATTCAGCCCAGCCTAGATCACGAGGGCTGAAGTCCCGTGCATTCTAAAAGGCACTAAAGAAGTAAAAACACAATTTTAGAAGTTGGGAGGGAGAAAGGAGATCGCCCTGGTAGTCAAATAGGGACATAAAGAGGGGCAAAGTGTCAACAGAATTGAACTTATAACCTGGAGTTCACGTTAATCCAGAGTGACCTTGGTTTTAAGGTCAGATTAGTGTAGATAAGGAGGGTCTTCCCTTTTGACTGGGACAATTGGGTTGAAGTAGAGGTTAGCTCTCTTAGATACACCCCACTAGGGAGGTGGTGCCATTTTTTCCCCATCCACTCCTCTCTTAAATTCTTATTGCCCTTGAGCAATTGATGCAGGTGAGTATTTTTGAAATTGTTCACCCCGAGATCTGAGAGACGGTAATTTCCCTGGAAAATCTTCAACCAACCTCAAGCTGGCAGAGAACCTCTTCACTTAAATGTTTCTCAGCCTTGGCCACTTTTAAGATGTGGGGACCTCAACGCACAGCACTCTGGGAGTTGAAGTCCACCCCTCTTAAAGTGTGCAAGGTTGAGTCATACTGCCAAATTAAACCTATGGCTGAACACCAGACCTGCCTTTGAAAACCTGGCTGGCACGGCAAAGACCTTTGGGGAAGGCTCTTTCAAAGGAGAAACTGGGCAAGAGGTTCCAGCGTCTTTAACAGCTTTGGGATCTGTTCATATATAATTTTATATATATATATATAATTATTATTATTTCCTCTATCTTTGTGTATGGTTAATTCCTCCCCCTCTCTGTGGCGGGATCAGGTTTGGCCCCTGTTATGTCTGTATGTATCACTGTTGTGAAACATAAAATATGTCTGGTAACATGCAAAGGACTTTTGTCTGCGTGTATTGTGTATTGGGTCTTGGAAGAGTCGAGAATAACAAGGGCCAGCAAAAGAAACCCCTTTGGAGGACAGGTGGGAGGAGAGGAAAAAGCAGAAGGCACCTTGGTTGAAGCAATGTACAAAAGCGGTCGTCCTCAACGTGCCTCCATATTGGGGCCATTATTCTGTGGCTAAGCCAGGTGCTCGTTAAGTGAGCTGCACCTGATTGGATGACGTGAGAGCAAGGACCCGCCTTAAATCACTTCTTTCAGTGCCGTTGTACCTTTGAATGGTCACTAAACAAAGTGGTAAGTCGAAGACTACTTGTAGTTAAGGAAAAGGTGGAAGATGCAACGTAGTTTTTAAAAATGGGTAGGGTTACCGCATTAATCAGAACACTCTCTGGAAATAACCTGCCTTCTAATCCCGTGAAGCCAATTCTAAAGTCCACCTTCCTGATGGCCGGACCTGACGGCCAGTGAGGCCCCAGATATGACGCAAAATACGGCCAAACCTGTCTGCCCCTGGACAGCTCTCTCCCCTCTGTGGTTGAACTTCTGAGCATCCGAGGAAGCTGCAAACATTGGCGCTTCCGTGGAGCCGATGAGAACACAACCCCAGCTGAATAACTGCTTCAACTTCACACAGCGACACTACGCAAAAGGTACCGATTGATCGGTAAGAGTGGAAAATTGTCCCACTCAAAGAAGAGGGCAATCTGGAGGATCCTTTTCTGCACCGACTGTCTTGTCTTCCCAGCAACAGGGCAGAAGCAGCGTCACCAGGAATCGCTGCGCGTCAATGCATGATATGATGATGGCGGTGATCCTTTCTAACCTGCTCCACGAGCTTAAATATCCAGGGAATCAAACAACCAAATCTGTTTTTTTTTTTAAGGGTTTTATCCCCACCCAGTGGTAGCGAAGCAAAAATGCAGGCAATTTAAGTCACCTCTTCAGAAACTGAATTCCTTATACAGGTAGTCCTCGACTTTTAACGACCACAAGTGAGTCCAAAATTTTTGTCGCTAAGCAAGACATTTGTTGATTTTTTTTTCTCGCCACGGTGGTTAAGTGGATCCCGGCAGTTGATAAGTTGGTAACCTGGTTGCTGAATGAACCTGGCTTTGCTTGTCTGAAGGTCACAAAAGATCACGTGATCTTGGGACATAGCAACCGTCTTAAATGTGAGTCAGTTGCCCAGCATCTGAATTTTGATCACGTGGCCACAGGGATGCTGCAGAGATCGTAAGTGTGAAAAAACCCGTCATAAGTCTGTTGTTAAGTCAAGGACCCCCTGTAGTGGGAGTGAAGTGAATTCAGTATGGAAATAAACATCAGTATTTCCCTTTTTTTCTGCACAGAAGATGGGATACACAATAATAACTGCCTTTCTCTGCTCCCTGTAAGTCCTACAACAGGGGTCTTCAAACTTGGCCCTTTTATGATGTGGACTTCAACTCCCAGAATTCCTCAGTCGGCCATTTTGATGAAACTGCAGGTTTGGATCCAGACCAGGCGTCTTCAAACTTGGCCTTTTGATGACTGGTGGACTTCAACTCCCAGAATTCCTCAGGAATTTTGGGAGTTGAAGTCCACCAATCATAAAAGAGCCAAGTTTGAGGATCCCTGTCCTACAACGATGAAACAAAACAAATTCTCCAGTTGACAAATACTTAGGACTTTAAGTCACCTGAAAGCTATTCAACATCACTTCTAAGTAACGGTCATCAGATGTGACAAAGTGATAAGGAAAGATTAAAAAAACACATTAAAAGATAGTCAGGTTGCACGGAAGTTAGTTCCTATATATCAGTTCCCTGTCTATAAGGCCCTGTGTGTATATGGTCCTGAATGTAAAATCCATTCAAATTACAAGGGTTGTGAGCTGAGGAAGCACAGCATAAGATGCTCAAAAGCCAAGTTACCCACTTGAGCAGCTTGTTCTAGGAGAAAGGGAGCCAACTAAACACTTTCTGAAAAGAGCAGATTTGGATATCCCACATTTTCACCCCAATTTACGGAGCTCCCTTTTAACAGAAATGACTTGAAGAGCTAAAAGCAAATAGGGAGGATTGCCAGTTTCTAAAGCAGTCTACTTGAGAGATCTAGAAGAATTCAGCGGTGAAAAAGCAGGTCCAATATCGTCGTTTACATGCAACAGAGTGTTTAAATACAGATTTGGGTGTGATCCAAGAAATTGCCACCTTTTCATTTATGGCCCAAGCTGGGAGAAAATTGGAAATGCTATTAAAAATGAAGAATGAAGAGAAAGCAAGAACGGAGAAATAATATGGGTGTCTAAAACAAAGCTTTTTTCAAACTTGGCCACTGGAAGATGAGTGGACTAACTCCCAGAATTCCCCAGCCAACATAGCTGGCTGGGGAATTCTGGGAGTTGAAATTCACTCATCTTCCAATGGCCAAGTTTGAAAAAAACCGCTACTGTAGGAATTGCACAAATCGCATTCCTTTCCTTTTCTAAACCATGCTTTCATGGCTTAGCGTGCTAACATTAACCAGCCAATCATGGTTTAGTGAACTAATCATGGCTTAGCTCGCTTAACTCTAGTCTACTAGAAAGAACAGCCTGACCGGGAAATATTGCCTGCAGGTGATCCTGGCTAATCCTCGTCATCACTAATACTCACTGCTACTTTCTCCTTTGACACCTTTCCTATAACAGCCCACCATTGCAGGCCACGCCCAATTACCCGAGGAGGCCCCGCCCCCTACTTCGGCAGGTGCGGAGGATTTCTGATGCGCCAATCGCATCCGCTCTTAACCCCTCCGCCGTACCAAGGCAGCCAATCCGGACTCCCGGAACAGCCCCCGTCCTAAACGGCTGCCCTATCCTGAGGCTCGCTCCGCCTTTTAAGCGGCGCTCTAGTCCGCGAGGGAAGGAAACGCTCTTCTCTCTGTTAAGGCGCCCCCGCACCCGCTGAAGAGCGAAACGGGGCTTCTGCGCATGAGCGGCACGCGCCAAAGCCCCGCCCGCCGCTGACGTTTCCGCAGCAGGCTCCGCCCCCCCGCGCTTTTCCCGCTAAGCGGTGCTTTGCGACGAGCGGGCTTGACGGCTGCTGGGTTCCCCCCCTCTCGCCCCCCCCGTGGCTGGTTGTCAGGGCGCCTCGCTTTACGGCCCGGCGGCGATGGCGGAGGGAGAGCGGGCGGAGAACGGCAATGGGGGCGAAGGCGGAGGGAGCGCCGAGCGGCCGCCGCAGGAAGGGGAGCCGGGGGCGCTGGAGCGAGCCGAAGCCCTCAAGACGCAGGCGAACGATTACTTCAAAGGTACCGGGAGGGAGGGAGGAGGCGGGGGGAGCGGAGGAGGCAGGGGGCGGGGCTAGGAGAAGGGTGGAGCCTGCGGGGCGGGGCCAAAGGCCGGGAGGGGAGGAGCCTCCTGCGGGGCGGGGCCAAAGGCCATTAGAATAGAATAGAACAGCATAACAGCTGTATTATCACTTTGAAGGTTCACTAATTCAGCATACATTCAAATGAAATTTGGTTGCATGCAAGCTCTCATTGGGAGGCTAGGAGGCCGGGATAGACTCCAGGCTCCATCGTCCCCAGCCGGCGTGGTGTGTGTGTGGTGGGTTTTGTAGTCCGGGGCCATACCTCCTGCTCGCCCTTGGAGACTGTGACTGTTGCCCCTCCTCATCCTTTTTTTGGGGGGGGGGGTGTAGCCGTCGTGGCTGATGGGCCTTGCGGCCCAGGTTGTGTCCTCCATCCCTGGAGCGGGCGGGGACTGCAACTCCCATCCTCCTCCGCAAGAGCGGCCGATGGGAGCAGGAGGCAAACAAGGCAGGGGGTTGGGGGGGGCAGGGCCAGCTGGTCTGGAGGAAAGGGCTTCCCACACCCAGGGAGGGGGGTGTCTCCCTTTTCTGGACCTTGGAGGCCAGCAGGGAGAGCGCAAACCTTTTGGGGGGGAGCCAGGAGCCTTGGTGCCCGCACATGATGGAGCTTTGACTTGGCTGTGGACGATGGGAAGAAGCCAGTGGGGAAGGGTCTTCCCTGTGAAAGGAGACGCTTCGCTCAACTCCGGTGTTGGGGGCATGGGCAGGCACAGACCTGGTGGACAGAGAAGCGCATCAGAAGAAGAAACGGGGGACATGATAGCAGTCTTCCAGCATTTGGGGACAGGCTGCCCCAAAAAAGAGGAGGGGGTCAACTTATTTTCCAGAGCACCAGAAGGCAGGACAAGAAACAATGAAGGGAAACTAATCAAGGAGAGAAGTAACCTAGAATTAAGGAGAAACTTCTGACAGTGAGGACAATTAACCGGTGGAACAGCTGGCCTCCAGAAGTTGTGGGTGCTCCATCACTGGAAGCTTTTAAGAAGAGACTGGACAGCCATTTGAAATGGTATAGGTCACAGGTCGGCAACCTGCGGCTCCAGAGCCGCATGCGGCTCTTTGAGCCTTCCCCGGTGGCTCCCAGCCTCCTCTGCCTTTGCAGAGAGAGACAGAGAGGCAATTGTGCTTCCCTGCTTCTCTCTCTCTCTCTCTCTCTCTCTCTCTCTCTCTCTCTCTGTGTGTGTGTGTGTGTGTGTGTGTAAAAGATTGCACTCACAGTGTTGTTCTCCGAGGAGCTGAAAAGCTTTCTGGACGGAGCTCCTTCCTTTGCTGCGTCTCTGCAGGAAGCAGGAAGGGCAGGAGAGAGCTAGCTAGCCCAGCTAGGCTGACTCAGGAATTCTGGGAGTTGAAGTCCATGAGTCATAAAAGAGACGAGGTTGCCTACCCTGATCTTGTTGGACAACAGCTTGAAGCTTTCCAGGTGAGCAGCAGATAGGAGAGAGAGAAAGAGAGAGAGAGAGAGGGAGGGAGGGAGGGAGAGAGAGAGAGAGAGAGAGAGAAAGAGAGAGAGAGAAAGAAAAAGAGTGGGGGAAGAGGAGTGGCAGGCAGACCAAGGGCAGATAGAGAGGGAGGGAGAGAGAGAGACAGAGAGAGAGAGAGAGAGAGACCCTTTTGACATCTAAAATGAAGATAACACTGCATATATCCTTTTTTTACCTGTACGTGTATGTGTATGTGTGTGTATATATATGTGTGTGTGTATACATACACATACACACACACACACACACACAAACACACACACACCTATAATAAAGGTAAAAAAGGATATATGCAGTGTTATCTTCATTTTAGATATCAAAAGGATTTTGCGGCTCCCGGTGTTTTGTTTTTGGTGGGAAACGGGTCCAAGTGGCTCTTTGAGTGTTTTGGGTTGCCTACCCCTGCTGTAAGGGAACGATAGGTTATATACTTTTTCAAAATAAACTACATTTATTTTTATATTGATCCTTTCGTAATAAAAATACACAATATTTCAAATAGATATTTGATATTGCGCTTATATTAATACATAGGTATCTCTAAGAAATATAGTTTAGAAACACCAAACCTAAATACAAACCTACATACGTACGATCTCCTTAAAGAAAAAGAAGGGCAGGACAAACAAAACTATTCTTGAATAAAAACATCTGGGTTTGCTTGAAGGGGCGAGCGGGGTGCACTTTTAGGAGCAACCTCTTAAAGTGTAACACAGGGAAGTGCGATACGACTGGATCATGGAGAAAGCTAGGGAGTTTCAGAAAAACATCTACTTCTGCTTCATTGACTACGCTAAAGCCTTTCATTGTGTGGATCATAACAAATTGTGGCAAGTTCTTAAAGAGATGGGAATACCAGACCATCTTATTTGTCTCTTGAGAAACCTATATGCGGGTCAAGAAGCAACAGTGAGAACTGGACACAGAACCACTGATGGGTTCAAAATTGGAAAAGGAGTCCGGCAAGGCTGTATACTGTCGTCCTGCCTATTTAACTTATATGCAGAGCACATAATGAGAAAGGCAGGGCTAGATGAAACAAAAGTTGGAATTAAGATTGCTGGGAGAAATATCAACAACCTAAGATATGCATATGATACCACTCTAAGGGCAGAAAGTGAAGAGGAACTAAGGAGCCTCTTGATGCGGGTGAAGAAGGGGAGTGCAAAAGTTGGCTTGAAACTCAACATTAAGAAAATCAAAATCATGGCATCTGGCCCACTCAATTCCTGGCAAATAGATAGGGAAGAAATGGAGGTGGTGACAGATTTTATTTTTCTGGGCTCCAAGATCACCTCAGATGGGGACTGCAGCCAAGAAATTAAAAGACGCTTGCTCCTGGGAAGGAAAGCTATGGCAAATCTAGACAGCGTACTAAAAAGCAGAGACATCACCCTGCCAACAAAAGTGCGTATAGTCCAGGCCATGGTTTGCCCAGTTGCAATGTATGGCTGTGAAAGTTGGACCATAAGAAAGGCTGAGCGCCAAAGAATTGAGGCCTTTGAACTATGGTGCTGGAGAAGACTCCTGCGAGTCCCTTGGACTGCAAGGCGTTCAAACCGGTCAGTCCTAGAAGAGATCAACCCCGACTGCTCTTTAGAAGGCCAGATCCTGAAGTTGAAACTCAAATACTTTGGCCACCTAATGAGAAGGAAGGACTCACTGGAGAAGAGCCTAATGCTGGGAAAGATTGAGGGCAATAGAAGAAGGGGACGACAGAGAATGAGGTGGTTGGATGGAGTCACTGAAGCAGTAGGTGTGAACTTAAATGGACTCCAGAAGATGGTAGAGGACAGGAAGACCTGGAGGAACATTGTCCACGCGGTCGCGATGGGTCAGACACGACTTCGCAATTAACAACAACAACAAAAGAAATAAACCTTTTTAATGGCATTTTAAAATGACGGTATTCTCTATCTTTATTAACGGTATTAACACCTTATTAATAGGGCCCATTGGAGGAAAATTCCACTTAGGGTCTCCTGCTTCAGCAGGCAGCTGGACTAGAAGACCTCCGAGGTCCCTTCCAGCTGTATTCTGACAGAATTTTCCTCCAATGGGATTTTCCCATGTATTTTACCAGGAAACATACATAGGGCAGCCTAGAAAAGTCAGTGCCCTCCTAACCATACCCAAGCACTCCGAGTTTGTTGGCGATGTCCATTTTGCTCTAGGAGTTCATGGTGACGTAACCCTAACCCTAAGTGGAATTTTCCTCCAATGAGATTTCCCATGTATTTTACCAGGAAACATACATAGGGCAGCCTAGAAAAGTCAGTGCCCTCCTAACCATACCCAAGCACTCCGAGTTTGTTGGCGATGTCCATCCTGCTCTAGGAGTTCATGGTGACGTAACCCTAACCCTAAGTGGAATTTTCCTCCAATGGGATTTTCCCATGTATTTTACCAGGAAACATAGAAAGGGCAGCCTAGAAAAGTCAGTGCCCTCCTAACCATACCCAAGCACTCCGAGTTTGTTGTCGATGTCCATTTTGCTCTAGGAGTTCATGGTGACGTAACCCTAACCCTAAGTGGAATTTTCCTCCAATGGGATTTTCCCATGTATTTTACCAGGAAACATACATAGGGCAGCCTAGAAAAGTCAGTGCCCTCCTAACCATACCCAAGCACTCCACGTTTGTTGTCGATGTCCATTTTGCTCTAGGAGTTCACGGTGACGTAACCCTAACCCTAAGTGGAATTTTCCTCCAATGAGCTTTCCCCATGTATTTTACCAGGAAACATAGCATAGGGCATTTTGCTCTAGAAAAGTCAGTGCCCTCCTAACCATACCCATAAGCACTCCGAGTTTGTTGGCGATATCCATCTTGCTCTAGGAGTTCATGGTGACGTAACCCTAACCCTAATTGGAATTTTCCTCCAATGGGATTTTCCCATGTATTTTACCAGGAAACATACATAGGGCAGCCTAGAAAAGTCAGTGCCCTCCTAATCATACCCAAGCATTCCGAGTACGTTGGCGATGTCCATTTTGCTCTAGGAGTTCACGGTGACGTAACCCTAACCCTAAGTGGAATTTTCGTACAATGGGATTTTCCCATATATTTTACCAGGAAACAGAGAAAGGGCAGCCTAGAAAAGTCAGTGCCCTCCTAACCATACCCAAGCACTCCGAGTTTGTTGGCGATGTCCATTTTGCTCTAAGAGTTCACGGTGACATAACCCTAACCCTAAGTGGAATTTTCCTCCAATGGGATTTTCCCATGTATTTTACCAGGAAACATACATAGGGCAGCCTAGAAAGGTCAGTGCCTCCTAACCATACCCAAGCACTCCGAGTTGTTGGCGATGTCCATTTTGCTCTAGGAGTTCACGGTGACGTAACCCTAACCCTAAGTGGAATTTTCCTCCAATGGGATTTTCCCATGTATTTTACCAGGAAACATAGATAGGGCAGCCTAGAAAAGTCAGTGCCCTCCTAACCATACCCAAGCAC